CGACTCTAGTGCTCGTGACGACTCTAGTGCTCGTGGCGACTCTAGTGCTCGTGGCGACTCAAGTGCTCGTAGCGACTCTAGTGCTCGTGACGACTCTAGTGCTCGTGGCGACTCTAGTGCTCGTGGCGACTCAAGTGCTCGTAGCGACTCTAGTGCTCGTGACGACTCTAGTGCTCGTGGCGAATCTAGTGGATGTGCGCGTTCTTACTCAAGATATTTTAAGCAGATCCTCAGAGCAGGAACGAGCCTCGCGACAATCAATAATTATTTCTATTGGAGGCGCTGGCGCTTTACACGAAACGATTTTACAAACAGAAGGTAAGTGGCATAAGTTATTTGTCTCTCCCTACATCTAGTGAACAAAATGCAATGGCAATATTAATGTTATCCATTGAAGCAGTAAACTACAGATCTCGAGAAAGTTAATAATTGTCGGTTAGCGATGTTGGATTCTGCGACACTATGATCAACACTGTAAACATTTCACTACGAAAAATTTAAATTGCGTTGCTTAAAATACCAACAGCGATGAGAGGAGCATAAACAGAAATATTTTTAGGGGACCCTAAGCCTTCTAGACTTACTTCTAGCCCCAATAATTATTTAACCATATTGTAAGTTTTGTTTTACATCACATGCATCAGTTTAACGGAACGATCATTTGAATTGACGTAATTTCTTAACGCAGGCACCACACCACGACCCCTGCCATCAGCACCCCACGCACCACACCACGACCCCTGCCATCAGCGTCCCACGCATCAATCGGATGCCGCTGCTGGCACAAAAAATCACGATTTCCACGTTGCATTTAATTACATCTGAGCAGCGACCGTCTAGTTACTGTTGGGAAATGAGGGCCGGAATACGAGGCGTAATTGTAGCGCTGTTGACACCGAAAACATTCAGTGTGATCTCATTATTAGATTCAATTCATCAAAGCGAGTGCAGAACAACACGTATATATGTTCCAGGATTGAAAAAGGTGAGAACATATAAGCAGAGATTTTCAAGCGCTTAGTTACGGGAATCAGTCACCTTTAATACAAGATACCTCCTTTGGTAAGAATCAATTAAATTGGGAACTAAGTAAGTGACAGGTTGTAAAATTACAAAAATGTGTCTGAATAAGTGATAAGCATTTGTTCACATGAAATGCCGCTGTATTAAGCAGAGGCAGACAAGTAAGCTTGAACCGTTGCTGCCGAGCGGCGCGCGGTAACGGCCACAAGATGAGCCGAAAGATGCTTCTTTTTCCAACACGCGCGTGCTTCGGTAATACTGAGCAAGAATGGACGTAAATGACATCATTACTTCAAAAGTATATACAAGAGCCTCAGGCGCCTCACGGCGTCTGAGGCGCATATATGATATACTGTAGATAAGCTTTTCTTACAGCGCGTTTCTCTGACACCTAACTTAACAGGATATTATTCTCAAAATGAAATGATTACGAAGCAGCCGAAATTTAAAATTTTAGATTCTCATAAACCAAAAAAAACAAAAAAAAAAAATGGAAACAAAATAAGGAATTCAAGTTTGATATTAGTGTTCCGAACAACGCCAGTTCAACCCACATGTTAACCTCATCCAGCCTCCGGAGTAAAGCCAGGTCAACCCGACAATAAGACACGTTAAGAACGTTGACACATTGCGATGCTTTATTCAGATATGTCCCTGCAAAGCCTTAACTAATCAATATCGAGGATAAAAATATTTGAAGAGAACAATTTCCGAAATCAGAACAAACAATAGGGAAAACATAAAAGAACGCGATAGACCTCACTACTCCTCGACTTGAATGCATCACAAAAATACATTTTAAAAAAACATCCTAAAAATGGGCGATGCAAGCGTCGTTGTGAAGCTCCATTAGAAAGCTGAAGCCTGCGCGACGGTTGCGTTAAAGGAAGTAACCGCAAGCTCCACCTGCAGCGACCACCGAGCGTCCTGCTTGCACCTCTATAATCTTCAGGTGAACCTTCGCACTCAAACACAAGTGATCTCGTTAGCATTACCGAAGCCTTCGAACTTATCGAATTTATTTTAATTGAAAAAGCTTAACGTTCAAACTCGTCAAACTGATCTAGTTTTTATAAATAATACTTTAGAAGCAGTTAAACTGGTCTTTTTGGATAATTTTAAACTTTTCAAACTAATCTAGCAAGTAACCTTGTAACTTTTTGTTCGTTTTGAGCAGATGTGAGCGCAAACTACTCCGTTCTCTCATACTCAACTAATTTGTCGACGAAGACCCTGACCAGAGTAGCTCACACTTTAGTCACCATTTGACATGTTTTACCAGTCTCCGTTCATTAGCGAAATCCTTGAATTGGCATTTTCGTTATTTTGCTACATACTAGAGAGACTCTAGAGTAAAAATACAACTGATCAGTCTACATTATCCAATAGCTATCGACACGATTCATCTGAAATGATTCGAAATCCAGCCCCTTATCAATGCGACTACAAAATATTCCGATACCAAGTAGAAGACCATACACAACTCTATAAGTAAAACTTTCCGACTGAAAAGTGTGAACTGATCCAAAAACTGCATCACAGAACGCAATGACTCAAAGTGTAGAACAAAACACAGTACCGAGCGTTAATGCAAATTGAATGTAATGAGCCAAAATAAATATGGAACGTAACGCGCAGAGCAAAATAAATGAAATATCCGCAATAGCGACGTACGGAACGCAGGAGCAGACACCAGAAGTGTGTCAATCAGAAGGCCGAGACTTTCATTCAGGTCCAGGATGTTGGTTGCGTCACTCAACGAGACTTCTTCGTACAGAAGAGAAAACTTGGAGACTTGCAACCTACGAAGCGAACCTTTGATTAGCATCGCGGTGGAGACCTGACCCATTGGTCTATATTGACCATGAAGTTGAAATTTTTCTCATGTAACTTATGAAGGTGAAAATAGCCTTAGGTAACATTATACGTTAAACTTGTTCCAAGTAACCTTACAGGTGGGATTTGTCTCCGGTAACCCTATTGGCGAAATTTTTCTTATGTCCAAAAGATCCAAAAATCCTGGATGAAAGTAAGTAAATGGTTAACACGTCCACACCCGCACTATTCCATAAGGAACTGTAGTCGAGGTAATACAAGTCAGAGAAGGCAAATAATGAAGTGGAGCGTGACGTTGGCTAGCTGTTGTTCCAGGAAGTGTGGCTGGTGAATGCACTAGAAAATGAAGGAGCTTCCTAATCGATCAACTAGAACTTACATAGAATGGTGCGTGTTCATGGGCGAAGGAAGAGTAGAGTCGAGACTGAACCGCAGATCATTAGTGTTTCATCCTCGTATATGTTCGTCCAAGGCACACATACAGAGAAAAAGTTACTGGAAACAATCGCAAGCGGCGCAAAAAGCACTTAAAGCTCAAAGATCAGAATTTGTTCCTTTTAAGCAATCAACAGATTTCTCTGCTACAATGCTTCCACAAGTCCGTATCTTGAATAGGTACAAAGCTGTTAGGCACAGGATTATCTCCAATCAATCAATCGATGAACAGTAGAAGTAATGGTTATATAAAAGAAAGATTGATATTTTGATGTCAGGTGACGGCTCACACGTCTCACGGCGGCTCACACGTCTCTCGACGGCTCACACGTCTCTCGACGGCTCACACGTCTCACGACGGCTCACACGTCTCTTGGCGGCTCACACGTCTCACGGCGGCTCACACGTCTCACAGCGGCTCACACGTCTCACGGCGGCTCACACCTGTCTCTTATACACATCTAGATGTGTATAAGAGACAGGCACGACCCCTGCCATCAGCGTCCCACGCACCACACCACGACCCCTGCCATCAGCGTCCCACGCACCACACCACGACCCCTGCCATCAGCGTCCCACGCACCACACCACGACCCCTGCCATCAGCGTCCCACGCACCACACCACGACCCCTGCCATCAGCGTCCCACGCACCACACCACGACCCCTGCCATCAGCGTCCCACGCACCACACCACGACCCCTGCCATCAGCGTCCCACGCACCACACCACGACCCCTGCCATCAGCGTCCCACGCACCACACCACGACCCCTGCCATCAGCGTCCCACGCACCACACCACGACCCCTGCCATCAGCGTCCCACGCACCACACCACGACCCCTGCCATCAGCGTCCCACGCACCACACCACGACCCCTGCCATCAGCGTCCCACGCANGACACACACCGCGTGACTCCTGACGAGGCTGCAAGTGACACACACCGCGTGACTCCTGACGAGGCTGCAAGTAACACACGTCACGTGACTCCTGACGAGGCTGCAAGTGACACACGTCGCGTGACTCCTGACGATGCTACAAGTAACACACGCCATTCCTGACGAGGCTGCAAGTAACACACGTCACGTTAATCCTGACGAGGCTGCAAGTAACACACGCCATTCCTGACGAGGCTGCAAGTAACACACGTCACGTTACACCTGACGAGACTGCAAGTAACAAACGTCACGTTACTCCTGACGAGACTGCAAGTAACACACGTCACGTTACTCCTGACGAGGCTGCAAGTAACACACGTCACGTTACACCTGACGAGACTGCAAGTAACACACGTCACGTTACTCCTGACGAGGCTGCAAGTAACACACACCGCGTGACTCNTAAGATCCTAATGTATGGTATTAGATCAGCTTAAGATCCCAGTGTATGATATTAGATCAGCTTAAGATCCTAATGTATGGTAATAGATCAGCTTAAGATCCTAATGTATGGTATTAGATCAGCTTAAGATCCCAGTGTATGATATTAGATCAGCTTAAGATCCTAATGTATGGTAATAGATCAGCTTAAGATCCTAATGTATGGTATTAGATCAGCTTAAGATCCCAGTGTATGATATTAGATCAGCTTAAGATCCTAATGTATGGTAATAGATCAGCTTAAGATCCTAATGTATGGTATTAGATCAGCTTAAGATCCCAGTGTATGATATTAGATCAGCTTAAGATCCTAATGTATGGTAATAGATCAGCTTAAGATCCTAATGTATGGTATTAGATCAGCTTAAGATCCCAGTGTATGATATTAGATCAGCTTAAGATCCTAATGTATGGTAATAGATCAGCTTAAGATCCTAATGTATGGTATTAGATCAGCTTAAGATCCCAGTGTATGATATTAGATCAGCTTAAGATCCTAATGTATGGTAATAGATCAGCTTAAGATCCTAATGTATGGTATTAGATCAGCTTAAGATCCCAGTGTATGATATTAGATCAGCTTAAGATCCTAATGTATGGTAATAGATCAGCTTAAGATCCTAATGTATGGTATTAGATCAGCTTAAGATCCCAGTGTATGATATTAGATCAGCTTAAGATCCTAATGTATGGTAATAGATCAGCTTAAGATCCTAATGTATGGTATTAGATCAGCTTAAGATCCCAGTGTATGATATTAGATCAGCTTAAGATCCTAATGTATGGTAATAGATCAGCTTAAGATCCTAATGTATGGTATTAGATCAGCTTAAGATCCCAGTGTATGATATTAGATCAGCTTAAGATCCTAATGTATGGTATTAGATCAGCTTAAGATCCCAGTGTATGATATTAGATCAGCTTAAGATCCTAATGTATGGTAATAGATCAGCTTAAGATCCTAATGTATGGTATTAGATCAGCTTAAGATCCCAGTGTATGATATTAGATCAGCTTAAGATCCTAATGTATGGTAATAGATCAGCTTAAGATCCTAATGTATGGTATTAGATCAGCTTAAGATCCTAATGTATGGTATTAGATCAGCTTAAGATCCTAATGTATGGTATTAGATCAGCTTAAGATCCTAATGTATGGTATTAGATCAGCTTAAGATCCTAATGTATGGTATTAGATCAGCTTAAGATTCTAATTCATGGTATTAGATCAGCTTAAGATTCTAATTCATGGTATTAGATCAGTTTACTGCAGCACACGGCAAGCAGAGCGCATGGGTGATAGAAAACACGGCGGTAGGCAGGACGGAAGACGAGCTGTAGAGCAATCGTTGACCCGCGCTACGTGATAGCGTGCGGTCTCCCTTTGCTGTTAGCCAAGGTTACCACTTACAAGGGAACCAAATCGGACACTTTCAAGGGAACCAAATCGGGCACACCTATGAACAACTATTCCATACCCTTCATAAAAAACTAAATACCTTGAATAAAACTATGAAATTCTCTTCATCGACGAAAACGAAATAGCGAACTGATAACAATCAAACTAACGTGCCTCGTATTACAGTCAAGAATAATAAAATCTTCAAGAAAAGTTATGGCAAAACTTAATTCATTCGTTTCATTGATTGATAAGATGAAAATAATCACACTGGTCAGCTAGTTTATATGGTTAGTGATTGGGTTCTCTAAATATAATATTTCGAAGTATTGAAAAGTATTGAATCGTTTCCCCTGAGATTTGATTTTGTCTTCATAGAATCAAGGAGTGACCGTCCGAGATTTGACGTGCTCTGAATTAGGGTTCCACAAAGTTTGCTGCCATATGTACTGCGCTCTTTTGAGGATTATCTTGCTTAGTTAAGACTACTTCTTCACACAATGAGGGATAAGTACCTAATTACTCTTTATCTCTCTATTCGAGATGTTATGTTTGAAGGATTGAAGATCTAACCTACTTCTGATCTGTTATGACAACAGTTGACAAAAATCTAACCAACAACAACACGTTGCACGAGTTTGAAGAATCCAGTTAAAACTTTACATCGAATATTTCATACTCCATCATTATTATCAAGCGCTTGGAGACAGATTTTTTAGTGTTCATGCAGCCAGCGCCTGGTAGAGTTTGGACAGGAAACTTCAATGATAATGGCGACCTGCTCGCTGCTTGTTTGCCTTGAATAGTTCTGCTTCTCTTGGCATTTATGCACTTCTGAACAACGGTGCAGTAGTGTTGATGGCTTCGACAGATTTCATTTTGTTGCATCTGCGAAGACGAGGCTGAGAGTGTAACAGCCATTGTGAGGGAATTTGGCTACTACTTTAGATCCCATGACTTTTTAGCGCATTCTTTCATTTATGTAAAAAAGGCGCTATTGTGCTTGTCATGTCAGTCTGTCTGTCCGTCCGTCTGTCTGTCCGTGACTTCATGTTTTCGTCGACGAGAAAATGCGCTCTGTCACTCACTGCAGTGAGTACGGAGTTATATTTTCCATGAATGTATCATTAATTGTCAATGAATGAATTTAAAAGTAAACATGGTGCATTCTTTGCAATGTAACAATATGATTACATTAATACTATTGCTTTAAGATATGCTATCTCATTTGGTAAACTAAAATGACTGACAGTTCCTCTAGGATCATTTCTTTACGGACGTTGAGGTCACTGGGTACGTACAACAAGCTGTCCTTCTGAAACACACGTAGCGACAACAGAGGGTAGTGAATAACAAATTCATGGTTCAAATTGTGGAAAATAACATGAGCAGTAACATAACGCAATTCTAACTAAACAGAATTTTGTTGCATTTCTTATTGAAATGCAATTAATTACAGCAATGCTTTTAATAATTTAGTAAGTTTTATTAAAAAGCAAATGCGTACGGACACATTAATTTAGCAAAAATTATAGCAAACCACTTCATTGCTCAAGCAGAAAATGAAACAAAATTACATAAATAGTTATACAAAAATTACAAAGTTATATAAAATTACCTATACAACTTTGCTCATTACTCGAAGCTAATTTGCTTTTAAACTGTCAAAATATAGTATAAATTATATTTAGAGGAGGAATGAGGCAGAGGCAGCACAGGTGAGGGAGGCAGAGGCAGCACTGTGGTGAGGGAGGCAGAGGCAGCGCTGGTGAGGGAGGCAGAGGCAGCACTGGTGAGGGAGGCAGAGGCAGCGCTGGTGAGGGAGGCAGAGGCAGTACTGGTGAGGGAGGCAGAGGCAGCACTGGTGAGGGAGGCAGAGGCAGCGCTGGTGAGGGAGGCAGAGGCAGCAATAGAACTACCAAAAAGACAATGCAAGATTAAGAATATTAATGAGAGCATCATTACCATCATTAATGAGAGCATTATTGTCATCACTAATAAGAGTATCAATGTTTAATGAGAATCAATAGCGTTGCAGTGGCGTCATTAATGACTCCATCAATGTCAGAACTAATGGTATCAGCAGTCGCAGCACTAATGGGAAACAACAGACGCAGCACTAATGGGATACAACAGACGCAGCACTAAGGGGAGCATCACTGATACCACTAATGTGAGGATCACTGAGCAGTACGGTAAAAATCACTAGAGGAGCAGTGGCGCCCCTCAGTGTCAATACAAACTGCAGCGACTACGCAGGCACTAATAAGACTAGGTATATAGTTACAAGGCAGCATAAATCGCATAAATTAGCGCCCGAGCAGCAATAATGAGAGCATCCAGCACTGAGAGAAGTCAGCATTACTGTGAGAACTTGAGAAGACAGCATTAATAAAAACAGCCAGAACTAATTAGAGCAGTCAGCATTACTAGGAGCAGGCAGCATTAATAGGAGCAGTCAACAATAATGAAAGCAGCCAGTATTAATGAGAGCAGTCCACGTTAATGAGAGCAGTCAGCATTAGTGAGAGCAGCCGGCAATAATGAGAGCAGCCAGCAGTAATGAGAGCAGTCAGCAGTAATGAGAGCAGCCAGCAATAATGAGAGCAGCCAGCAATAATGAGAGTAGCCAGCAGTAATGAGAGCAGCGAGCATTAATGAGAACAGCCAGCAATAATGAGAGCAGTCAGCAATAATGAGAGCAGCCATCAATAATAAGAGCAGCCAGTAATAATGAGAGTAGCCAGCAGTAATGACAGCAGCGAGCATTAATGAGAGCAGCCAGCAGTAATGAGAGCAGTCAGCACTAATGAGAGCAGTCAGCAATAATGAGAGCAGTCAGCAATAATGAGAGCAGAAGTCAACAATAATGAGAGCAGCCAGCAGTAATGAGAGCAGCCCGCATTAATGAGAGCAGTCAGCAATAATGAGAGCAGTCAGCAATAATGAGAGCAGTCAGCAATAATGAGAGCAGTCAGCAGTAATGAGAGCAGTCAGCAGTAATGAGAGCAGCCAGCAATAACGAGAGCAGCCCGCAATAATGAGAGCAGCCAGCAGTAATGAGAGCAGCTCGCAGTAATGAGAGCAGCCAGCAATAACGAGAGCAGCCAGCAGTAATGAGAGCAGCCAGCAATAATGAGAGCAGCGCGCCTCCAGAGCGCCGGATGAAAAGCTCTGAGTTTTTGCACATCTTCAAATGTCAAGGAAAGCTGTGCGGCCGTAGTTGCTGGCGCAGCAAAGAAAACAATTGGCGGCAGCGAGCACAGCCGCACGGTAATTAACGG